CATATAGAGTCCAGTGTTGGATCTCCTGTACACCTATGTATAAGTGGTGGTGGGGAAACAGAGAATCAGAGTCTTCAAATGCCAAGAAGAGAAGATGCCCATTATTCCAGTTGATTGGGTGAAATTGATTTTACATACCCTCATTGTTTAAATAAGCTAGATTGGGTTTTTAACTTTAGTGTGTTCTATAATAAGATTTTTTTGAATCACACCTTTATTAAATTGAAATTGTTATAGGTTAATAATTAGAGTGTGTTTAGGATGTTATTCTTGTAAACCAGGGGTGCCTAAAAGGGTAATCCCTAGATGTTTTAAAATTACAGCTTCCATAATGCTTTGTCATTCTAAAGGCATGCAAAGTATCATGGGAGTTGTAGTTCAACAACATCTGGGGACCTACCTTTTTTGAACCCCTGTTGTAAACCTTATTGTAATATGGAATGCTTAAATCCCCTCCACCACTAATTATTCTGGTCATTAACCCCTTAAGGACGGAGCCAAATGTACACGTTGTGAACGAAACAAAATGTAAACAAAACCTGGCATTTGCGCTACATGTCTGTCCAACCGTAATTCACCTCTTTCATATTAAATGCACCCACCCTTATTATATATCATTTTATTCATGGGAAACAGGGCTTTCGTTTAATATCAAATATTTAGCTATGAAACATAATTTAATATGAAAAAATGGGAGAAAATAAGATTTATTTTTTTTTTTCGTTCTACATGGCATTTTAACGGTCAATGTCATAATACTGTTGTCTTTTACTGCAAAAAAATACACATATTTGTATTCAGCAAAGTCTCATGTGTAAAACAGTACCCCCCATGTACAGGTTTTATGGCATTTTGGGAAGTTACAGGATCAAATATAGCATGTTACATTTGAAATTGAAATTCGCCAGATTGGTTACGTTGCCTTTGGGACTTTATAGTAGCCCAGGAATGAAATTTACACCCATAATGGCATACCATTTGCAATAGTAGACAACCCAAGGTATTGCAAATGGGGTATGTCCAGTCTTTTTTAGTAGCCATTTGGTCACAAACACTGGCCAAAGTTAGCGTTAATATTTGTTTGTGTGTGAAAAATGCAAAAAACACCAATTTTGGCCAGTGTTTGTGACTAAGTGGCTACTAAAAAAGACTGGACATACCCCGTTTGCAATACCTTGGGTTGTCTACTATTGCAAATGGTATGCCATCATAGGGGTAATTTTCATTCTTGGGCTACCATAGGGTCTCAAAGGCACGTAACCAATCTGGCGAATTTTAATGTGAAAAAAATGAAACGCAAGCCTTATATTTGACGCTGTAACTTTTGAAAACACCATAAAACCTGTACATGAGGGGTACTGTTGTACTCAGGAGACTTCGCTGAACACAAATATTTGTGTTTCAAAACAGTAAAAAGTATCGCAGGAATAATATCGTCCGTGTAAGTGCTGTTTGTGCGTGAAAAATGCAAAAAACTTCACTTTTACTGGCGATATCATCGTTGTAATACATTTTACTGTTTTGAAACACTAATATTTGTATTCAGCAAAGTCCCCCAAGTAGAACAGTACCTCCCATGTACAGGTTTTATGGTGTCTTGGAAAGTTATCGGGTTAAATATAGTGCTAGAAAATTAAATTCCCTTTACTTTCGGCATGGGTTGTCAGGCATGTCCCGCTAATTGTACTTAATTAAGATACCGAATTATGTAAAATTATTACATAAATATATATGTAGAATTAATATATGTATATATATATATATATATATATATATATATATATATACGTATGTGAATCTATATGTGTATATATATATATAATTTTAAAAAAATATTTTTATTTATATATAGGTATATATATAGTGATATATACGTATATATTTATGTATGTAGATATATATATTATTTCGTTCTACGTGTATTTTGATATATAATATATATATATATTAATATCACAATACAGTTAGAATGAAATAACACACATCTATATATTTTTTAATTATTTATTTTTAATTATTTTTGTAATTTTATTTTTTAACGTATTTACATTTTAATTTTTTTTATAATATATATAAATATATATATAACAATAATTATATATATATTTAATCAGTATCAGTCTACGTGTAATTTGATATTAATATATATATAATTATATATATATTAATAGTAAAATACACCTATACAGTGTACGTGTGTGTATGTATATGTGTATATATATATATATAGTTAGATCATATATATATAATATATATATATATATGATCTAAGTATATATTATTATTTTTTTTACACTGATTAACTTTTATTTATTTTATTTTCAGCCAGCAGGGGACCACCTGTCATTACAGGCAGCCTCCCTGCTGGCAATGCAGGAGGCAGCTACCCCCGGCCATGTGATTGTGGGGTCCTCGCAAGGACCTCACTCTCACATGGCCGGGGGGCTTCCAGGGGGTCGGACGTGCCGCGGGGGGCTCCCTGGGAGTCCCCCCAACCGCGATCGCCGGCGTGGGATCGCCAGCGACCGGGTAAGTACAGAAAGACCGGAGGGCGTACTATTACGCCCGGCGGCGTTTAGAGCCCCCTAAAATAGGGCCTAATTGTACGCCCTCCGGTCTTAAGGGGTTAATGCCAATGCTACAAAAGTCAGTTGTTTACATTTTTCAAGTGCATTTTTTTTAAATGTATTTTTTTTACAATATATATATGTAACTTTTCTCTCATCTCAAACCTTCTTTTGTCTTGACAGTCCTGCAAAACTTTCCAGTCTGTCAAAACCATATACAACACCAAGTCAATTTTATATTTAATAACTATAAGCAAAAATCTAATGTGCTACATGAAATGTATCAAGAGGGCCTTAAAAAGTTTAAAATTACATTCTTAAAAAAAAATCAAAAAGATAAAGTTGTGAAGCAGCAGCCAGTAAACTCAGCAGGAACACCATGTTGCAAGGTTTGGATATGAAATATTAAATAAATGACATTTCTGGAAAGAGATGAAAAGAAGTTCACAAATGAGATAGACAGAAGCGCATGATCTGAAACAAATGTGACAATGAGCTGCTTATTAAAAGATTTTTAGGAGCGTTTGGCTGATGATGTTTGATTCACAGGTTTCTGCATCAATTACTCATATCACAGAGAGATAAAAAGACCTCTAATTAGGCTCCTTGTGCAATATTCTGAATACTTTTTTTTTTATTAGTACTGTGTACAGTGAGCTCCCTATGAAAGCACCTTTGATTTCATAAATAGAACAATTGATTGCATTTGTAGAGTTCTATAACAGCAAAACAGAAAAAATATCCCTTTCAAAATTGGTATTTCAAGAGGTGTGTTCGTTATTCTATAAACGCATTAGTTCTTTAAAGAATCCATGTTTGTTACACTTTATCTTATTAGGTATCCTGGCATAGTCTCCTCCTGTGTTTTTCTCAGATCTGTGGCATCACATGAACCCTCTAAATAACCATATTGCACTGCATGTAGTCTATTACATTAGGCTTCATCATGTAACTCTTGATTCATGGAGTCACATAGATTGTGGCATTACGTTTATCAAAAGAAAATAACATTAATCTTTACAACACATTTTGACCAAAATATATTCTCAGGGACGTAACTAGAAACCTTAGGACCCCAGTGCAAGAATCTTGTAACCCCCACACACACACACACACACACACACACATACACAGGCAATATCTGTGAATGTAGGAATATTTTGTATGTAGTATGTTTGTGTATTTGTGTATAATGCTCACATTTGAATACAGGGGAACCGTTTGTATGTAGTGTTGGCATTTAAATGCAGAGGTGTGTAGTGTCAGTGTTGAATGCAATGTTTTTTATGTAGTGTAAGTGTACGAATGCAGCAGTGTGTTTGTGTGCAATGTTGGCATTTGAATGCAGGGGTGTGTTTGTGTGTAGAGTTGGCATTTGAATGCAGGACTGTTTTTGTGTGTAATATTAATGAATTATGTGAATGTGAAATACATAGGCACTGTAGTGCTCCTAATCTCAGCTCATTACCTGTATAAAAGATAGCTGGCAGTCAGAATACGTAAAACACTAAACAAGAATGGATTTCATGGGAGGATACCACAGAGGAAGCCACTGCTGTCCAAACAAAACATTGCTGCACGTTTAAAGTATGCACAAGAGCACCTGGATGTTCCACCGCAGTACTGGCAAAATATTCTGTGGACAGATGAAACCAAAGTTGAGTTGTTTGGAAGAAACACACAACACTATGTGTGGCGAAAAAAAGGCACAGCACACCAACATCAAAACCTCATCCCAACCGTGAAGTATGGTGGTGGGGGCATCATGGTTTGGGGCTGCTTTGCTGCGTCAGGGCCTGGGCGGATTGCTATCATCGAAGGAAAAATGAATTCCTAAGTTTATCAAGACATTTTGCAGGAGAACTTAAGGCCATCTGTCTACTAGCTGAAGCTCAACAGAAAATGGGTGTTGCAACAGGACAATGACCCAAAGCATAGAAGTAAATCAACAACAGAATGGCTTAAACAGAAGAAAATACACCTTCTGAAGTGGCCCAGTCAGAGTCCTGACCTCAACCCGATTGAGATGCTGTGGCATGACCTCAAGAAAGCGATTCACACAAGACATCCCAAGAATATTGCTGAACTGAAACAGTTCTGTAAAGAGGAATGGTCAAGAATTACTCCTGACCGTTGTGCACGTCTGATCTGCAACTACAGGAAAGGTTTGGTTGAAGTTATTGCTGCCAAAGGAAGTTCAACCAGTTATTAAATCCAAGGGTTCACATACTTTTTCCACCTGCACTGTGAATGTTTACATGGGGTGTTCAATAAAAACATGGGAACATTTAATTCTTTGTGTGTTATTAGTTTAAGCAGACTTGTCTATTGTTGTGACTTAGATGATGATCAGATCACATTTTATGACCAATTTGTGCAGAAATCCATATCATTCCAAAGGGTTCACATACTTTTTCTTGCAACTGTATTATGTTAAAGCAGCACTGTCATGCCGAACTTACCTTTCCTCAATCTCTTCCTCTTCTCCCCCTCTCTCAGGATCTGTTATTCTTTTCTTCCAGTCTTCTTTAGTTTTCTTTAAAATCATAAGACAAAGTAGGGACTCTTTGCCTTATGGAGGATTCCTCCGCTTGACCAGCTCTGACCAGCGGAGGAGCAAAGTGTGCTTCATTTCCGCTGGTCAGAGCAATTTTCCCATGATCCCTAGCTTTCCTCAGTGTTCCCACAATGCTTCCTGTCACTTTACACAAAACTGCCGAATTGCGTTCTAACTGAATGACAACAGTCTGTTCGTTTCTTTTAGAACGCAATTCGGCATTTTATTCGGATCGGAATTTCATTCTAATGAATGAAACTCTGATCCTATTCATTGCTGTGGCTGCATTTTGCAGCCGCTTAGTAGATAACTCCCTAATTCCCACGGTATCAGGGAGCTATCTACTAAAAGGCTGAAAGACCTAAATTGGTCTAACAGCCAACTTTACTAATACTAAGTAAAGATTACTTAGTATTAGTAAATAATATGCCCCTACTCGCTATATCGCGAGTAGGGGCATGTGTAGTAAGCAGTGAGCAGTTTATAGCTGCTTACTGTAAAAAAAAAATAAAAATCCACAACCCCCAC